GGATCCTTATAAATACTTAAGTAAGGTGTAAGAATTTTAAAACTGTTAAAAATGCGGGCAGTTAGGCTTAGAAGTTGAGGTAAGTGGGATTTTTAATAATAAAAATATATTTATGGAAAAGAAATTGGGATCACTTTAGATACAAATAGAACCAAATACATTTTTTTTGCATTTAACATTGCTTGTATAAGGAAAATAAAACAGACTGTGACCTAGAAACATGATATATATCCCACACATTTTCTATTTCTTCAGGATTTTCCCTATAGTGCCATCCATGTTCTCTCTATTCTATTTGTATAGGATTTCTTAAATGTTTTCATTACAAAGTTGACAACATAAATGACACAATTCAACAATTCATTGATCAGTCAAATTCTATAATTGAAGTTCATTGTCTGTAAATTTATCCCATAAATCCTAGATCTACAACAAAGGTAAACACAAGAATAAGTTATCCTATAAATAAAACTGTAAACAAGACTTCCTAAACCTTTTTGCACTAGATTCTTAGTGATACAACATGAGTATTGGTAATTTTCTGTGTGTGTAGACGATGCTTTTGAATATCCTCCTCATCCATTATGTACAACTCCCTCATTTTAAATTAGTATAAATCTCTACACAATAAAAAATTCTCAACAATACTAAACCTATGAGAAAACTGATCCATGTATACTAAAATATATTCTGAAGTCTAAACATTTAAAAAAAATCTTACTCCCTTTAAATGCATATCCTTAGGAACTTTCTTGCAATTAAGGAGGATAGATTATTATTATTACTATTATTATTATTATTATTATTATTATTATTCTATTTGTTTCTATAACTTACATCGATATTATCTTACATGTTACTTTAGTGAAGTATTCTATATAGCTTTGTTTGATCTTAGTTCATTTCATGTTTAAGTTGCATGTTTGTAAAATAATTGTTGCTAATGAATTCAACATCTAGCTTCAATAGTATTTGAACTATTCTAATTTACCTTTGAAATTTCATAGGACCCATCTCCAAATTCATATCTAAAAGCATATCCCCATGGCCAACATGAAAAAATCCATGTAACAGTAAGATTTTAATTTATAATGTCATTTAGCTTTGGAATATCATCTTCCTTCGCAAATAGAAGAATCATTAGTTTCTTTTTGTAAAAAAAAAGAACTATCTATTTAATGATATAACTTGACATATTACCATGTTTGATAAATCTAATATTTAATAATCCTCATACAAGGCATTGCGGTGATATATATATGTATATATATGGCCACAAGTTTTTAAATACAAATGAGATTAAAAGTTCCGTAATGTTTTCTATCAATTAGGATGAGAAAAATAGCCCTAGGTGAAATTACTACATTTATCACCTAATTTATTGAAGTTTCTTGTTTAGGTGTAAATAAATAGTCTATCTTCTTATTAATGTTCGTTAAGCTTCATGCCTTCATTAATCGCGATGACCTCTTGATCAAACTGACAAAATTTCTGAGTAAATGGGTGACAAGCAATGGATTGTTGCTTCTAATATCACTTGCAGGGTGATATGTGATAAATTATTGTAAAAAGTTAAGAGTATAAATCGTGATCGTACAAAACCACTCTCCAAAAATTCACTTTGATGACTATGCAATACATTTTGTTATGTGTATATATCATAGTCTTCCATCATATTCAATAAAGTCACAGACTCACTATTTTTTGGCTTGAAAATGAGATGTAATAAAGCAAAACGACTCACTAAACTGTCGGCACGCTTCTTTGTTATGAAACATCAATCAGTCCATGTAATGTTTTTTGCAATTTTCATCATGGTTCACCCGAAAATAGTATTTTTGTGTTGTAGTACATGAGTAAGGCTATTATACATACATCTGATCCCCCTTACCTTGATGTTGGTGAGAGTCTTTGTGACGTTGGGGTAATGTTGTTGTTGTTTTTGTGCATATGTTATAGTCTAATTTGAATATAAACATTGAGTTTATTTAAGCACCTTGATTATTCATTAAATATATTTACTCCCAAAACATATTTGGCAATCATGATGATAGGGGTGAGCATTCGGCCGGTCAAATAACCGACCGATAACCGAATAACCGACCAATATTTTTTACTAATAAACAACATTACAAAAACCGACCGAAAAATGCGATTAAGTTTCAGTCGGTAACCGAATAACCGACCATAATCGACCATATTTCAAAAGCATATAATTTTCAAAATTATGAAAGTTGTAGACAACACATTAATAAATAAAATAATAAATACCAAAATGGATTTAACTTATTTAAATGTAAATAATACGTAGTCGTACAAAGCACACTACATATGCACGCATGATGCATTACCCACATATATCTTTTTCAATCAGTAGACAAAATAAAAAATGACCTATTAACAAATAATTAAGCTATTAACTTCTTAAACATTTAAGTATTTAACCCCAAACCAGCAAACTGATCCACGAGGTCAAGGGTTGAGGGCTCCAGAGCATTCGACTATTGGGTTTCGTAGGTGGACTTCAATAAGAGTGGGCTGGACTTCATACGGAGTATTATATTACTATGGAGTATATATACTTATATATTTTGGACGGTTATCGGTGACCGACCGATAACCGATAAATATAACCGAATAAAAATCGAATACCCAAATAACCAGTTTTTTTAAATTTATTATAATCGAAAACCAATTTTTTCGGTCGGTTCAGTCATCGGTTTTCGGTCAGGTCGGTTAAATCGGTTACTACTTCTAATTAATATCTTTCATAAATTAAATGGATCACTTGCAACTACACGCAAAATTCAGAACCCAAACATAGAATTCGCAATATGAATTTCTGCTATTGTACACACATTTACACAACAAATAAGTACACATATATGACTAAAATAAATATTATTTATAAAAGTGTGACTTCCTAAGCGTAGTGAGTTAGCGAGTATAATGATACTCGCTCTGTCCCACTAACAATGGGACACGGTGGAGTGACACGTAAAATAATAAAAATAGTTTATGTGGTTGATATTGAATTGATAAAATAAGAATAAAATAAGAATGATTTAAAACTACACAAACTTTACCAAATTTAGCATGAGACAATCTTAGTGAGACAAATTGGAAAGGTAAAATGGGACAATCTTAGGGGGGTGATAATCGTGTAATTTCCATATTTATGTTTGTGTTTTTAATTAGTTTTGATTGATTGTTGCTTTGGAAATTACACTTTTTTTATGTAAATAGTTTAGTTGTAAAATAATTGTTATTTGTTTAGATTAGTTTTATTATGAGCTCAAACAGGTCCAAGATCACTCTAGGGACCATGGTTGAACATAAAAAATGGAAGGAAGGTGCAAAATCTCAAGGCAAAAATAAAGATCCTGAATTTTTGTGTTGTACCCGGTCAGGTATGACCTATACCCGATCGGGTACCTTGTTGAAAAATCAAATCGGATCGGATCCGGGACAAGGCAACATGCAGGAAAATATTTGACCACGCTCGAGTGTCATACCCGATCGGGTGACCGACATACCCGATCGGGTATGCCCAACTTTTCGAGCTTCCGGGAAGCCACTGAAGGTACCCGATCGGGTACCCTTGATGCCCGATCGGGTACACACCCCTGCATGCTCCAAAAGCCTATAAATACCCCCCTTCCTTCCCAAAAAAAATCACCAATTCACATATACTTCTTAGCTCAGTCTAGAATAATTTTTTCTTTATATTTTTCATCATGTTTAGTCTCCAAATGGGGAGCTAAACTCTTCCATCTTGGTTTTGCTATTTTGAAGCTTAATGAATTTGTAAGTTGTGAGTTATTTTCTTTAATCTTCTTCCTTGAATATTAATTATTTCCTATTCATATTCCATATTAATATTTTGAGCATTACTTAAAGGATCAACTAGTTTTGTTTCATATATTAATTATTACTAGAATCAGAGGCCGTTTGGCAACCCTCATTTTCGGCTTATCAGGCTTATCAGTCAACTTTTTTACCAAACACGTAAATTTTGCTTTCGCGCGCTGAATTGTGTAATAAGCCGAAAAAGTAAGGTTGGAGTTACTTTTCTGGCTGTATTGGCTGAAGTTACTGTAGATGACCATTTTAGCTATTTTTACATATATATTTTTCTTTATTTTATTAATAAAATATATTTTAAAAATATTTTTTTCTTGTATCAGCAGAATCAGCCAATGCAGCCACTTCAGCCAGAACTTCATAAATTTCAGCAGAATAAGCCAGAACAGCCGATTTTCGTGCTGCCAAACGGGCTCTCAATCGATTAATACGCTTGTTATTAATTCAGTTCTTTCAACGATAGTAAAACTTGGATTATTAATGCATGCGTCTCATGATTAATAATATAAGGGGAATTAATTATATTGGGGAACATATGGGTAGTTGGGGAAAATTGACTCGGAATCATGCCATAATAGCCCATAACGCTCAAATGGGGACCGGAAATCCAATCAATAAAACACTGCCTTACGCTGCCGTATTTTCACCTGCTTTCATAGAATATAGCTCTCGTAGTTGGATTAAACTCCATCAAGCCCCACAATTAATACTCTGTATTTATGTTGACGATTATAATTGGGCATTCTCCTAATCGCGCAACTCGGCTTAAGGAGTGTATGAAATTGATTCTGTTTCTAATGTTTTTTTTAAAGTAAAAGTAAAGGCATAATCAATTTTTTAGAAGTTGATCTAACTCAACTTCCAAAACATACACATTACTACAAGTTGATAAAGTTTTAAGGGTGAGTGGGGTACGGGGATAAGCTAATATAAAAAGGCCAAACATTTTTGTCTTAAAATGTCATTTTAAATACAGCCAAAAATTGTCATCAATTAATATCCACTTGTTTTTTGTTTTGGCATGATCAAGTACCACTAAAGCGTTGATTTGACGCCACCTCTCAGTCATTAGTTTGGTTTTACGCCTCTGCCCACAGTCTCACCTTTTTATATTCGTTATAATAATGTCATCTTTTAAGCTTCTTCTCCATTCCATCCTCGCATCATCATCCCTCTCTTTCTCTTCGCTGGCATGCCTTTCAATTCCCTGTGCCCCCTCCCCTTGTGTTTTCCTTTTTGCTTGAGTAACTTAATCAATTAACATCCAATCCGATTACGTAAAGAATTAGAAAATTCTCACCAAAACCTGACCTTTTCCTGTAATATGTATTCCAAATTCCAGATCTGAAATCTGAACTCGGAATTTCAATTCTTGTTTTCGGTAAATGTCGATGTCTACCACGTATTGGTGTTACAGATGCAATAGGTTTGTAAGGGTGTGGACCCGAGATTCAATATCATGCCCCGATTGCAACAGCGGCTTCATCGAGGAAGCAGACAATCCGGCGAGATCCCCAGTCTCTGAATCTCGTCGGCGCCGTTTCCCCGCCGCTGCTGCGATGTACATGTTGCCAAACTCGGATCAAAATTCCGGGTCGAGCCCGAGGTTCAGGAGGAGCAGGAGAAGTGGAGGAGACAGATCTCCGTTTAACCCGGTGATTGTCCTCCGAGGGCCGTCCGACAACGGCGGTGGTGAAGGCAGCGGTGCTGGGTTTCAGCTTTACTATGACGACGGGGCAGGGTCGGGGTTGAGGCCATTACCATCCACCATGTCGGAGTTTCTACTCGGGTCGGGGTTCGACAGATTGTTGGATCAGTTGGCCCAGATTGAAGCCAATGGGCTCGGAAGAATGGAGAGGTCGCCGGCGTCAAAAGCGGCGATCGAGTCGCTGCCCACCATTGAAATCGTGGACTCTCACATAGCTTCAGAATCCCATTGTGCTGTTTGTAAGGATCCATTCGAGCTCTGTAATGAGGCCCGGGAAATGCCCTGCAAACATTTGTACCATTCAGATTGCATCCTCCCATGGCTGTCACTGCGAAATTCATGCCCTGTCTGCAGATATGAACTCCCCGCTGATACAACCGGAGACTCAGAGGAGCCAAACAGGGTGCCATCAACCCATGACCAAAGCGCCACGGGCAATGAAGATCAAACTGTGGGGTTAACAATATGGAGATTGCCCGGCGGAGGATTCGCCGTGGGAAGGTTTGCCGGCGGAAGAAGGGGAGGGGAGAGAGAGCTTCCTCTTGTGTACACTGAAGTGGACGGCGGACTCAACGGGAATGGAGTGGCGAGGAGGATTTCTTGGGGGAACGTGGCGTCGCGGAGGCGAAGGGGTGGGTTGAGGAGAGCTGTCCAGAACTTGTTTGCGTGCTTCGGCGGCGGGTTGGCGGCGTCAGGCTCGAGTTCCAGTCTGGGTTCAAGGGTTACTCACAGTAGTGTGATGCCATCAGCAATCTGAGCTGAAACTTGAGGATAGCCGTGACCATAAAAAGAGAAGAGAAGGGAAGAGAAGAAGTTGATATCCTCCCTCGATCCGTATGTAAATTTGTAAACAATACCAGGACTCCGTAACAGTCAGTATATGCGGCTCCCTTTAGTAAGTGAGTGAGTTCTATACAAATTTCTTTTACCGCTCTACTTTTTCAATCCAACGGATTCTTTCTTAAGACCAGACCGCTCAACTAATTACAAGTTAGGAGGAATCCAACAACTTACCAACTATTGACGCTAAACTTTACCAACAGAAAACGACGAGACGTCAACTAATCAATCAAGCAAGTTTATTAAGAATGAAGCACAAAAAATGGGACATGGGGGCCCCACTTAGTGGCATCCTTTTTAGAAGTATTACCTCTGTGCTAATTCTTATATTACTACGTACTTGACGTGTGTTTAAAGTTATTTCTCTTCACAAATATCAATTACACAGTTTTTATTTTATTAATTTACGTGCAAGTGAACACTGATCAATTTTTATGGGACGAAGGGAGTACTTCTTATTTTTTTGGGAAAACAGTCAAATAGGTCCTCGAACTTTTATAAAAAGTTATTCTCACGTCGTTGGCAACCTCTTCAAGAATTATCCTATGAGGCCAACCACCTTCTGAAGAGTCGTCCAACGAGGTTAGTCATCTACTCAACTTAAAGGCCATCTACTATGAGTTCATCAAATTTCACGACAATTATCACATTAGGTTGGCCACCTTATCGAAGGTTATTCCATGAGTTCGGTCACCTTGGCAAGGTCATCCCATGAAGTCGGCCATCTCCCAAAAGGTCAAATATTTTCGTGAAGATCATTGTACGAGGTTGGCAATTTCCTCGCAAGTTATCGTATAAGGTCAACCTCCTTCTCAAGGTTCATCCCATGAGATCGCCCACATTGCTCAATGTTAAAGTTTATCTCATGAGGTCAATTATATATCTTTTCGAAGGTTGTCTCATGAAGCTTGCCGTGTCACTCCTCATACAACTGTTACACAACCCAACCAAGGCAACCACAATCCACCTATTTTAGGATCATCCATGAGGTCTTTCATTTCAAGATGCTCAACTCATGAGGTTGGCTACTTCCTTGAAGGTTATCTTATGTGGTCGACCACATTTCAGATGGTCATCCACTCGCTCGATTGAAAAGTTGGAAGGCAATAATTATAGGACCGCTACCCACATGATAGATAAGATAACCCTATTAACTATCCATGCCATGATGGGACCACTTTCCTTTGGTAAGGAGGCAAATTCTTGATCCACCCAATGAGTTTGTGCTATTAAATCCAGTTACTAGTTCAGCTTAGAATGCTCGAGTTTGCATTTTGTGACCATTATTATTCTGAATATGTGAGCTACACGTGAGCTCTTAACATTTTGATAAACAAGTTGAGACTAAAGAACAACTTGTGGATATATAAATTGAGCAAAGTAGACATAATTATTAATGTATTGCAAAATATCGATGACGATTCTAAGGAGATCGTTGCGTTTAGAATCCAAAATTATTTTCGTGTGACATACTCCCTCCGTCCCTTAAAACTTTGTCATCTTTCCTTTTTGGGACGTCCCAAAAAACTTTTCCACTTTCCCTTTTAATCAATTATTTTGTGGTTTCTGTTATTTCTCTCTCCTCTGCACAAACCTCAACCACACAATTTTTACTTTATTATTCGAGTTGCTTTTAGTGTTACGAATTGCAAATTGCCGCAGGCGCCAATGAAAGAGCTTTATATATAATGATTACTAATAATACTAATCTCTGCAACAAGAATGATGATGTCTTCCTTACCGATTATTTGAATTGGTCATGTACCTCAAGGATCCAGACGAGACCGAGCGGACTTGAATTGGTCATTCCCCGAACATTCAAGACATGTGTACCTAGGCTTTTTCACAATTACTACCCACGGTTCCATTTTATGTCTCATTTGACTGTGACACAATTATTAATAAAATAGTTGAAAAAAGTAAAAATTTTCATTCAAATTTGGATGTAATGAAATGAAATGTTGTAGATCATATATTTCTTTTCAAAAAGAGAAATGTAACACTTATTTTGACATAATCCAAAAAAAAAAGTAGGACATGTAAAATGGATGAGAGTAATAAGGACGTCACAGTTCAGTTAAAGGGGCTTACATCAGTGCTGTAGTTCTAATCTGGTTCTACCCGCACGGGTAGCTCAGTTGGTTCAGTGGTGGGAAATTTGGATCAAGTGACCAAGGTTCGAAACCCGCGGCGGCCGTGTGGAAGTCACAGAACCTGAAATAAGGCAGGATCTCTGGTGCGCACGGGAAAAAGGCCTACCATCATTGGGCCGACTGAATCACCGTGATTAACATCCTCCTAAAAATCCTGTCGGGTCGAGTATGGGGGCTCCTGGGGTGGGAGATTCCACCTTTTGGATCAAGTTCTAAGGTTCTAAAGCAAAGCCAAGTTGCCAAACCCCCCTACCATTGTAGGTCAAACACGTAGCAGTTGAGTCTTTTTTCCTCTCATAGCACCATGGTTTCATTGATTGATTCTTTTAGTGGGTACAGTTCGTTTGTGTTCTCATTTGGTTTTGCTATACGTAGCTACTAGTAGCCCTTTGATTGATGGATCGCCGGAAAGTTTCAAGTCTATCCGAACAAAACGCGGCCCCACATTTGTGCACTCTGTTCCCTTCTAAATAGACGCACATGAACATCACCGTCAACCCGATGTCACATGGTATTGTGATTTGTTTTTTTTTTAATTTTACCATTGTTATAACCTTCACTTTTTTAAAAAATGTATTAATACTTTTAATTTTTTATTATTTTTCTTATGGTATTAATATTGTATATGTAAAACTAAAAAAACTGACTAAAAATAGATTAAAAAATATTTTTTTTTTCAAATTTCTTATATTAATTTATTTTTTATGTAAACGAAATTATACGTAGTAAATAAAAACGTTATGTAATAACTTTATGGAAAAAAAGAGAGTTGTGAATCTTGTGATGCCAATTGGCAAGCATGAAAGAGAGGGGGTCATGTTGACACTCCAAGGAGGGGTGACAAAATGGGACTCATTTTGAGGAGGCTAATGACTTAGCCGCGATTTTATTACTACTGCCTAATACGGAGTATTTTCAATGTATTTCTTTTACTTATTAGTCAATTTTACCAAGGCTTTTTCTTTGAATATTACTAATTTAATGTCAATTTCAAAAAATGTAACCATTTTTACAAAATGTCAAAATGTGACTAAGAATATCATATATATGAAAAACATTATGTGAGTGTTTAATTTTTATGTTACTACATCCAGATTTTTATATCACTGTCGCTTTTCATATCACTTTTTGAATGTCACTACAGGTTTTCATGTCACTGTCGCCGTGAAACGTACGCTATGATCATCGGATAATTTTCCGGTGACTTCTCCCCACAAAATAGTGACCTCCACGACCGGTCATTGACCACCCAACACCGCCACAAGCCACTTTAAAATGTCACTATGACCGCTAATAAATTTTCCGGTAACCTTTTCCGGTGAAACTTCGCCTACCCTTGCCTACAGCACCAGATCCCAAACCCCTCCCTAGCACTCGCCGCTCTTCCCTGTCCCAACACCACATCCTAAACCCCCTCCCCTACCCCTGAGGCTGCACTCAGCCTGCCACAACCCCCCCTCCCATCACAACCCCAGCCATGCCTTCAACAATTTCCTCCATCAGCAACAATTTTAGCCAGTAAACTTCATCCATAGCCAGCAATTTCAATTGCAATACACTCATCCTAATCCAAAATAATCAAAAACAAAACCCTAATCCCGCTCTCCTAATCCCAATATGAGTTGAAAAAGGTAATCGGATCATTTGCGAGCAACCAAAAATAGAAGAAGAAGAATAAAGGAAGCACCGGCGGGATGCGCAGCGGCACGACAACGGAGGATGCAGGGACATCTGGTGGGCGGCGGGGATGCAGTAAAGACCAGAGGCGGCGTCGATGCAAGGACGTCTGGCGGGCAGCAACACTGCAAGGCTTACAGGCGTTGAAGATAAGGCCGAAGCCACTCACATATCCAAGGCACATATGCGATGAAGACGAGGAGCGCTTGCAGTATCCCAGGCTAGAAGAATAGCAGTGCGGAATAATTAGGGTCACATTTGTGTCGATCGAAGACTTGGTCATATTTTTGTCTACACAAAAATATTTTAGTTATTCTAAATGATCATTTTAGTTATTTTCATATAATATTTTCTTTATTTTATTTATAAATGTATTTTAAATAGATTTTTTTCATAATTCAACATGTTCAACCAATTAATCCCGATTTAATCAAAATTTCATCAATTTCAACATACTCAGCCTATTCATTCAGCTTCTATGTTACTGAACATACTCTTAATGATCATTTAACACATTAGGTCACTCCTATTTTCGAATTATTGGTCTTATAAATTAAAAGCATATTTGGATCACTTAAATAGAATGAATCGGCTGATTCAATTCAAATCGATTATGTTCTTGCTGAAATAGTTGAATTATTAAAAAATTATATTAAAAATATATTCTATTAACTAACTTCAGTAACTTCATCAAGAAAAGTAATTCAACCTTACTTATTTTGATCATTGCATTATTCAACGCATGAAATAAAAAATTACATATTTGATGAAAAGAGTTGAGTGAAAGTTGAGGTCCTCAAACAAGTTTTACTTCTTTAATAAACATTAAAAGTTTATTTTTCACACAAGTTAGGTCCTCAAACAAGTTAAGCTATCATGAATACTTAGTAATTATTTTTATACATACTCCAAACTTCTTTATAGTAAGTATTACTTTGTATAAATTACTCCATATTATATGTCAAATTAAGTGATCAATAGATGATATCTTTGCAAAGAAAATTCAAGGTCATTGGAAAAACCATTGTTATACAGAAACAAAAATGCCTTTTGTACACTTATATAGGCTAACAATGAAAGTGTTTTTTTATCTATCAACAAAACATGCTTTCTTTGTAACAAACAAAAAAGTGCTGATGGAGTATATGGCCCGGGAACACCCGGCCCACAGACTCCTACTACTCCAGTGAAGGCCCAACAGGCCCAGAAGGCCCAACAGGCCCAAAATCACAGCGCCCAGAGTACCAAGCAGCCCGCAATACGCACCAGGGGGGTGCCTTCGGCCCCCTGGCCGAAGGCTCCAAACTATCACAGCGTGGATATTACGAACAAACAGAGAAACTGGGAGAAAACAGCGAAAACAGTAGCCCTCGACACCTGGAGCCCTCGACACTCAGGGGTCCTAGGCACTCAGAGCCCTCGGCTAGTCCTCTGCAGCCGAGGGCACCTCTCCCGACATGATATCCGCCTCACAGGCGTATAGATCACCGTACCCTGTACAGATGTCCCATCCAACAGCCGCATTAAATGCGGCCACATGCGGCTGCCAACGCCAACCAGTTGAGGTGACCCCTCGGCCAATGGGCGCTTGACACGTGTCCGTGTCCGGCATTTATTGCTACTATAAATAGCACCCCATTTCCCCATTTGTAACCACGACATTCATACTGAATATACTCTCTCTCTTACTTACTTGTGCTCTGACTTCTCTCTAAGTTATTCCCTGCAATAACCTTCGGATATATACCCCCCGGGTAGACTATCCATCATTTGGTGCTCTCGTTGAGAGGTCGAACAATCAAGTAAGAAACCCTCCCCCTTCGCCAAACACTAGCCCTCTACCTAAAATGGTGAGAACAACACGTGCCAACTCCAAAAACGTGGAAGACAAGAACCTGGCCCTCGGCGACGTCAACGCCCCCAAAGCCTCTCACAGGGCTCCCGAGGGCGGTGTCATCGTTGGGCTGGAACATGCGGCTGTCGACCTACGCCTTCAGATCCAACAGAATGCCCCCGATGTCCGCCTCGGCATCGAGGCCAAGAAGAAAAACCGGAGCGATGACCAAGTCAGCCCTCCGGTTCTCACCATCGACGTGCAATCGGCGCTCTCCGCCTTCATCCAAACACTCACTCAGAACCCGGGTGCCTTCGGCACCCTGGCTCCGACTCAACCCCAAGTTGGGGAGAACATCATACTTCCCCCTCTGCCACACCCCTTCGGAAACCCCACCCCTCGGGTTAGGAACGACGAAGGGGTAGTGGCCCAAGATACGTCCTCCCAGGAAGTTCAGTCCCGGGACCGCCACAATGACAACAGAGAAAGGCCCCGCACTTCCGCCCTCAACCGGCTCGGAGGAGAGCCAGACCGCCGAGGGGTCCAAGACCGCCTCGGAGGGAAAGCACTCCAAAGGCCCCAGGAAAGCGGAGGGTCTGTCTCGAGGGCAGACGAGGAGCGTCCCCCTCGGGACAAAGGCAAGGCACCCCTTCATGCCAATGATGCTCGCCACCAGATCAACCAGGCCCACTCGGCCCGGGTTCGTTCGCAGGGGGCGGAGACCCTCCCGAAGGATCCCCGGGACGAAATTATTGCGGCCCTCCAACGCCGGCTTGATGAAATGGAGGCCAACAAAGCTCACACCACCACCTCCACCCCTCATTCAGATCTCAAATACGAGGCCATGATGGCCAAAATGGAGGTATTACAGAAGAAGGTGGCCGAGGGCTCCGGGGAACCCGTCATCCAACTCCGGACCCGGACGCCATTTACCCCAAGGGTACTGGCGGCCCGGATCCCGGAAAAATACCGAGGGCAACACATACAGCCCTACAACGGGAAGACGGACCCCCAGGAACACTACAACAAATATCAGAACAACATGATGATGGTAGGGGCGTCGGACGAATATTTGTGTCGTTGGTTCCTCTCCACCTTAGAGGGGCCGGCATATTAATGGTTCAACCGGTTGCCCGAGGGCTGCATTGATTCGTGGCAAGAACTCGCCCAGCGATTCTTGACACAATTTGCCGGGAGGCGTCGCACGAGGAAGCATTTCTCCCACCTCCTAACCATACGCCATAAGAGGGATGAGACCCTTTGGGACTTCCTGGAGCGCTAGAGGACGGAGGCCGACAAAGTCGACGGTGCTGATGACAGGACCCTCCTGGCCCTCCTACAAACCGTCCTCCGCACCGGCAACTTTTCAAGGAGCCTCATCATTGAACCCCCCCCCCCCCCCCCGCGACTACATAAGGGCTTTGCAGCGGGGGGACCGATATGCTGAGGCCGAGGAGGTGGAGAAATACCACCAGCATTCAGATCAGCAGCCCCCGAGGGCTGACAACAAGAATAACCGGGGGCCGGGGGCTCCTCCAAATCACCCCAAGTCTTCAGGACCCTCTGATGACCGCCCTCGGCAAGGCCAAGCCAAGCCCGGGGGAGGTTATAAGAACAGCCCTAAGACTTGGGCATAGCCCATCCTCCTGGACCGCCCCCGGACACCATTGACGCACCCCGTCAGCATCATCCTTTATTTTGCCGAGGAGAGGGGCCTCGTTGAGCGCGATTCTCGCGCACCCCCGGAGGTACATGCTATCAACCCTCAGTTCCCCTACTTTCGTTTCCATCGGCATCAGGGGCATAGAACCGATGACTGCCATCAGCTAAAGACGGCCATCGAGAGATTGATACAAGCGGGGCACCTGTCCCAATTTGTTCAGAGCCCTCAGCAGGAGGGACCTTCTCACCAGGGACCTCCCCGAGGGCACCATACGAAGGTAAACGCCTGGGTAAACCCGAACACCATCCCCCTCGGCAAGAAGAGGGAGATCGGAAACTTAGAAGAAGAAGAGGAGGAGTACCCCCACTACCAGGAGAAAAAACGCCACATCCTCATGATCACCGGTGGCAATACAGGGGGCGATTCCACCAGCCAGCGAAAGAAGTGGGCTCAATCGCTTTACGTGGGGGAAGTCACTCATATGCCCCCGGTAAAGCGACTGAGGGAAGAACCCATCACCTTCACCAACGCAGATCTCCCTCCTATTTCTTCTCCTCACAGGGATGCCTTGGTGATTCGGACTGAGATAAACGACACCATCATTCACCGAACTTACATTGACACGGGAAGCTCCGTCAATGTAATGTACCTCAGCACCTTCAGAGAGCTGCATCTGGAGAGGGGGTCCCTTCGGCCCATTAAGACCCCTCTTGCCGGCTTCACCGGCGATACTATTGATTCCGAGGGGGTAATAACCCTCCCGGTGATCTTCGGCGACGGGCTCCATAGAGCCCAGCTCGAAGTGGAGTTCGTCGTTGTCAACATCGACTGCGCCCACAACATTATCCTCGGCCGGCCAGCCCTCGAGGACCTCGAGGCCATCATCTCCATGAGGCATCTCTGCCTCAAGTTCCCCGCCGAGGGGGGCATTGGCTGCTCTCGGGGGAATCAGAAAATCGCCCGCACCTGCTATCTTCAAGTCACTAAGAAGGTAAGTAAGACGGAATTCCGTGTGGACACCATCACCGGAACCATCAACCAAGAAGAAAAAAGGCCGAGGGCTGAACCGGCCGAGGACGTAGAAGACTTTGCGCTCGATCCGGCCCAGCCGGAGAGAGTCGTGAAGATTGGAGCCCAGCTCCCTGAAGATCTGAAGACCGGTATCACCGACGCCCTCCGCGCCTACTCCACTGTCTTTGCATGGGGGCCGGAGGACATGCCGGGAATAAGCCGAAGGGTCATCACCCACCGCCTCTCGGTGGACCCCTCGGCAAAAGCAGTACAACAACGAAGAAGACCCCTCTCCGCCGAGAGGAGGGAATTTGTGAAGAAGGAGGTCGCCATGCTCCTCTCAATTAAGCACATCAAGGAGGTGAAATACCCCTCATGGCTGGCCAACGTAGTCCTCGCACAGAAGCCCCCTACCTTCCGCATGTGTGTGGACTACACCGATCTCAACAAGGCGTGCCCTATGGATCCATTCTCTCTACCAAATATTGATCAACTGGTGGATGAGACCGCAGGGTGTGAGATCATGTCCTTCCTCGATGCCTTCCGAGGGTATCACCAAATTTTCATGCACGAGGAAGACGCCGAAAAAACTGCCTTCATGGCCGGGTCTTTCAAGCCGTCCTACAATCTTCCACCTACACCCGGATGGTGGCCCGGGTCTTTCAAGCCGTCCTAGGGTGCACCATGGAGGCCTATGTTGACGACATGATCGTCAAGAGCAAACAATCTTCCAGCCATGCCGACGACCTCCGGGAAATCTTCGACATCATGCAAAAATTCAAACTTCGGCTGAACCCGAAGAAGTGCACCTTCGGCGTCCAAGGGGGCAAATTCGTGGGCTACATGGTGAGCCGAAGGGGTATTGAGGCCAATCCCGAGAAGATCCAGGCCATCATCGACATGGAACCCCCACGCAACGTGAAGGAAGTTCAACGGTTGACGGGCCGCCTGACAGCCCTCAAC